CGAACTCCCAAAAAAGGTTCCGGAGATTTCTAAAAGCATCCAAAGATGTCAAAAGTCTCAAAAAAAGGATAAAAAAATCTACGAAACCTTTAAAGGTTCTTACCGTGTGCCCAGGATAAGAACCTTTTACTGCGAAACCTTTTTCAAAAGTTCCGTACAGCAGAAAAAGTTTTCGTAGAAAAATACGAAACCTTTAGAGTTTCATACTAAACCCTAATAGTTTCGTACTAAACCCTCATGATTTCGTAGAGTTTAATACGAAACTCTAAAGGTTTCGTATTTTTCTACGAAAACTTTTTCTGCTGTACGGAACTTTAAAAAAGGTTTCGCAGTAAAAGGTTCTTATCCTGGGCACATGGTAAGAACCTTTAAAGGTTTCGTAGATTTTTTTATCCTTTTTTTGAGACTTTTGACACCTTTGGACGCTTTTAGAAATCTCCGAAACCTTTTTTGGGGGTTCGGTAAAAATTCGATCTTTTTTAGAGTGCACACCCACACGCTTAAAGATATCACAACAATTAGAATCTAAGGAGGTCATAGATGATATATGAGTGAAAGAAAAGGTCTAGGTGACGGTAAGAAAGTTTTTAAGTGAGGACGAGACTATAAGAAAAGTGAAAAACCGTTTAAGACTGAAATCTCACTAATTTTCATCCTAATCGACACCTTATTGATCCTCATCGAGCTAAGCTGCCTCACCATTATCCTAGCTGCTTCCTCACTTTCACCTTCCATCATCTGTGACCGTCTTGTATTCTAATTGTTGTGATTTTTTTTAAGCTCGTTATTTTATCATTATATCATTTCCATTTTGCCTCAACAAAATTAAAATTTCGGTAATCTGAACTTTGGTCGAAAGTATAATTGTCGAAAGGAATAATGTGGAAAAAAAATTGATACAAATGTCGAAAGATAAAATGTCGAACCTTAAAAACGTCGAAAGTAAAAATATTGAAGGATACAAAGTATCAAAACATTTTGATTTTTGTACTGGGCATATAAAATAACCAGCAGTTTAATGTAAATGAATTTTATTATTAAATAAAAAATGAATTAAACACAAGCAAAAAATTCTCGATAACTCAATTGAACAAGTTAATCAAAATTTTCCCATGGCGTAAATTTCTGCGAAAAAAACACGTTCTCAAAACGCATTTTTCCATAGTTGCGAAACGCGTTAATGCTGACCGGTTTAACGCGTTTCACATCTGCTAAAACAAACGCTGTGGAACGATCGTTTTTCTAAAAAGTTTCGTAACGTTTCTCAAACTGTAGTGTCGTATATTCTGGATGAAAAAAAATGATAACCGTCAAGTGCTTCATTGAACTTGGGTTGCAGATACAATTCATGCACTCGTTTATTTTTTTTTCATAGACCTTTAGAACTATAACTTACATGAATTTTAATAAAGTCAAGACATGGATTCGAACACGAGAACATAAGAGTAGAAGACATGTGTACAAGCTATTCAACTAAAATAATCTATAATGATATCAGTGTTTATTCTACTGTCATCCAGAGTCTCGCGTAAACTTACTAAATTAGATTTCTAGTTTCCCATTTCAATGAATTAAAAATCAACATTTCCTTGGTGTCTATGTCCAATTACAAATGTGATCTCCTCTTGATATATTTTTTATTTAAACTCTTTCAAACTTAAATTTAAATACCCAAGCGAAATGAGTTCGATTGATTTATAGTGTATTTAATATTTAAACAAGTTGAATTTCTTAGATATAAACTTTAGAAAATTTAAAAATTACTCTTTTTAATTATTTTCTTGATTTAATGGATTTTTGTAAATTTAAATTCGTTATTCTTTTACCTAGTCACATCACTAAATGAAAAGGAATTTTCTTCTGTAAGTCGAATCTCTTTTATTAAAAAGTCACGCTTACATCAATAATGTACGAACTAGGATCATATTTAGTGGTCTTGAACACAGTATCATCGGTCACTCTCAAGTAGTTCAAATATGAACTCATACTAATAAATATTCAAATTATACATAACGCGAAAATTCTTTTGTTCAGAAATAACCAAACAAAGTTGTCGTATTCATTATATTAGCGTCAGTCTTTAATAAATCTTTTCGAATTGTTCAATGTTTAAAAACAATTCTTGGTGAAATGTTACGAAACGCGTTTTCTTTCAATAAAAAAGTAAAGAAATGAGTTTTCAAAGAAGAAGAATATCTTTTTGTTATACTTTGACGTTCAATATTAGTCTTCTAATCAGATTTAGATAACAGTCTAGCAACCTAAACTTTTAGAAGAATTCAGTTGTAATCTTGCCTTCAAAAAATTTGGGCCATGATTTTCATGTACTAAAACAGTGCAAGGAGCAACACTTTCAAGTGCAATTGCATATCATTTCCAAAATAATGTCGAAGAATTTTTTGCTTAATTCATATGCTTTATATGGGTGAATTCCTGCAAGATTCTATATGAAGAACGGATACATTTTGCATCATTCCAAGCAAGAACAATGCAAAACGCGTTTGAAAAAGAAACGCGTTTCATGTTTCCCCCCAATTTGTATCTGTGGAACGCGTCATCTGTCGACCGAAGTGCGTTCGGCAACATTTTATTTCTGAAACGCTTCGAAACGCAACCTCGAAAAAAGCGTTTCGGATAGTTTCAAAAACACGACGGTAGCAAAACGCATTTTATCTAAGTAAGAATGCCGCGAAACGCGTTCTGTATTAAAAAACGTTGCGAAACGCATGCTACAATCTCGGAAACGCGTTACGCAGTCCGTTTCCTTCAATATTTTGCTCCATGGATTTGGCGTATCATTTGTTCTTCGCCACGATGTTTAATCGGTATGTATGCTCTTCGCCGAAAAATACTTTTTCGGAGGTATTTTTTGGCCATTGAGGGCGCTCCAAAGATGAGGGTAAAATGAGTTGACCTTTTCATGTTTAACAAACCTGTATAAGAACTAAAGGGCTCGCAACAGTCTAAAGCATCCCGCGAGTCTTTCGATGAAATGCTTTTCGACGAAGAGCATTACATTCATGGGTGTGGATTAGAAGAAGAGAAACACACCCACACCCTTCAAGACTTTAGATATGTGTCAATTCTGAAAGTTGAATTCAACTTTTCAATAATCCTACGAACATGCACTGAGGAAGGTAACCACTGTTCTCCACCTAACTGACCTATTACGTTAGCGTCCGCTCTTTTAACATACGACTAATACTTGCAACAGTTTAATACTCTCTTACTTTAAATGCATGTTTATTTCTTTTTTTTTTTATAAATTCTTCTATCAATAAGCGTTTTTGATTAATATGTTTTTGAATAATTCTAGTTTTGAATATATTTTATATTGTGAAACAACTACTCGATTATTCAATCTTACCCTTAGACATTGTTAAAACACAATATATCGAAATAAATCAATCAAAGACGTACATTAGAATAAAAAATAAACAAAGTGCATGATGCAAATTTTAAAATTTCAATTATCGGCATTCGATACAAGTACGAAACTTCGAAAGATGTTAATAATATTCGATTCAATCAATATGGCTCGTGTAATTCGTTTTTCACTATCTCATTATGTCTAAAAAAAGGAACATAGAGTTTTCACTTCAAAATCGTCACTTTATAGAGTCAATTGGGAACAAAAGGAAGTTTCATATCGAAGTGTCGAAAAAAGGCATTCATCATATAAGAATATGGAACTTTGTAATAACATTTAATTGAAACTTGCAAGACTCTTTGATCTTTAGATTATCGTAATACAAAATAGTGATTCGAGCAGGGTTGCCAGATCGAAATCTTACAAATCGGAATTCTTTTGCTGGAATTCGGAAAAATTCGGACAAAATATCTGCTTAATTCGGAAAAAAATTCGGAAAGTCATTTTTAAGCTTTTTGACGCTTAAGCGAATTTTTTCTAACAGAAAAGTCTTCTGCATTTGGTTATTCTTTCTGTAGATATATTTCATCAATGTTAAAATAAATGTATTAATTATAACACCATTAGGAAACATCATTTTCAAGAAGAGACTGTTAATACAAGAAAAACAACTAAAAATACACTATCTATACATATGTATATATACAATTCAAAACACTTATGGAAAAACACTAAAGTTTATTTATCAAGACGTGTCTTTCTAACAAATTTTTCATTTGAAGCTATTTTTGTCAATACTTCGTCTTGAGTTAAAATAAAGTCATAAAAACGTGAACAATGAATATCAGAATTCCAGAGGTGCAGAATCTTCCTCATGCGCCCCCGCGCGGGGAGGGAAATTTTTTGAAAAACTTAAATAATAGGGAAATTTTGGAAAAATCCGCTGGCCAAAAAAAAATACAGTGGGGAAATTTTTCAAAAAACTTTTTTGCGTGGGGGGAAATTTTTGGATTTTTGGAAGATTCTGCACCTCTGCAGAATTCATTCGGATTTGTAGTTCAGCTTCAACAAATTCTATATCCATTCGATTGCGATAATTAGACCATAGATGATTCATTTGACTAAATATTGATTGAAGCTATTCTAATAAATCTTAGACGACATGAGATTTGAAAAAAAAAGATTATATTAAATCTTCTCTTCTCTCCCTTCTCTTCTTATTTCTAATAATACAATCAATTACCCAATGATAATAAGAAAATAAAGATGGCGCCATATGAAATCTATCAAAATATATATATAGAAAATTATAATGGACAGGAAATTTTAAAAAAATACTACGATTCGGAAAAAATTCAAGAATTCGGATAAATTCGGACAGTCGGAAGGCAGTCGGAAAAACTTAGAAAAGTCTGAAAATTCAGACTAATTCGGACAATCTGGCAACCCTGGATTCGAGTTATGTGTCAAGAAAATAAACAAACTCTTAAACGATTATTGTACAGTAGTTTGCATCGTAATGATACTAGATTACTAAGTTCTAAAGATGCTTTTTAGTTTTCAAGATAAATCAATAATTCATAGATTCATTTGGCGCTAAGATAAATTTAGATATTCTACAATCTAGTAAATGACTAAACGAATCATGGATCAATATAACACTGAATCACTTTCTACAATAAACAATACTCATGAAACAAATACAATGAAAGATCATCGAATTTTCTCCGAAGAATTTCTTCTTAAAGTATCAGAATGTATTAAGATTGCCAATAATATTCGTACTGATGTAAGATTTCATATTGTATACATCATAATAAATAAAACTCATATTTATTGTAGTATGGAATAGATATTTTAGAAACTAATGGTAGTTTTGAAATAACAGATAAAGTTATTAATCATCTTGATTCTTTGTTATCGATATATTATCAAAATGTTAATCAAAACAATAATAATATTGATAGTATTCGCAATTTATTTGAACAAAACGATGATTTCAAAATATCTAATTTGTATGATAACTATTCTAATTCTATCATGTTATCGAATAAACATAATGAAATCATAAAAATAGAAAAGTTTCCATCAGAAGATGTTCATTGTATAGCAATTAAATTACCAACAATAGTTGAAATGCAACTTAGAAATAATCAACTTCTCAGAAATGTTATTCATAATTATAGACATCATGAACGATATTTAAATTTATCTAAAAAAAATAAAATATCTTCAATAAAAACGAGAGACAAACAAGAAGATGTGTTCGTGATTGAAGCTAAACCTTTATGTCCTATGGAATCAAATGATACACTTGATTCATCATCAGTTATTCTATCAAAAACTAAAGAAAATGTTACAAAACTAATGAATCATATTCATAATCAATATAAAAATAAAAATCATAAAGTATGTATGTATGTCAAAACTCTCAATATGCGCTAGGATGAGTCTATGAGAGTAGGTTCAAAATTTGAGTCGATAAAAAGAACAAAATGAGATTTTTCGAAAACAAAAAAAATTGTAGTGATGATATGCGACATTGTTCAGCTCATTGATAACTCTGATTCTTTTAAACTAATGAATAGATTTTTATTATCATCATTTTAAATAGAAAACAAACAAATTAATTGCTGATATTGAAGATATCCTTAAATTTATAATTAATGAAGAAATCACATATGAATATTTGCAAAATGAAATAAAAATAAACAATCAAAAACATTAAGAAAAAAAAAGAAAAATCAAAATCAAACAATTGAAATATTACCATATGAAAATACATATCGACAATTCTATTATCCCAATCAATTTATACCAATCGAACAAGCAATGATTAATAAAATTAATATATGGTGTACAAGCTATGCAAGCAGCATTGACTAATACAGTAAATAAAAAAGTCAAATTTAATTTCTTTTCATATCTTAACTAAAAAAAAGAGACAATAAATATAATTTATAATTTAGAAAGATATTGAAGATGTTTTAAATGGTATTGTTATGTTAACTGATCAATCAACTTCTTCATTTTCAGATCAAATAAATAATAAAATAGCTAATGAACTGATGAGTGCAACACAAAGTAAGAAACATGTATAAATATATTTTGTTTCTCAGAACGTTTTTTTTTAAATACAAGAACAAGGTTATACAATCAATCGTGAACGAATACATGTTCGTATGGCATTAGATTTAATTTTAGTTGATAATCGTTTAAATGGTAAAACAATGATATTTCAATCAGAATCAATTATTTTATCTCGTATGATTCGAAAAATCTATCTATGTACACAAGTACGAACATTATGTTCATATGGTGATGTAATTACAATAATTAATGATCCTGATTATCATCAAATACGTTTTCGTACATATAAACGACTGTCATTATCATTGGATGAATTTATTGAAATTCTCGGTTAAATGTATCATACATCTTATAATACAATTGAAACAATAAAATATTATTTAGATGCAAGTGATATTATTGATCTTGATACAAATCTTATTCATTCATCAATATTAACATCAAAACAAATAGATGATATGATTAAATATATTGTACGTGAAGATGCTATAAAACAATTACTAAAATTAATATTTAATCGAACACGTAATAGTGATAGTCATATTGATGATGAATATCGACAATTTAAATTAAATCTTCCAATGAAATTGAACGATTTATATCAAACAATTAAAAAATTAAATGCTTTTAGTAAGTTAAATAGAGAATAAATGAAAATTCAAGGATTTGAATTTAGTATGCTTATAGTAGTGATTGAATTTTTGTTTCTGTATTAGAAATTTATCAAAGATTTCTATGAATGTTATTCGAAATCGATTTTCATATCAGCTATGATAAATTTTAGTTGACCTTTAGATTCTATCTATAATGAACAGAATACTGTCTGTAGCATCTAATAAAAGAATAATAAATATCAAGAGTCAATAGTAAAGTTCATTATCCGACATCAAGTAATATCATAATATCATATTTGAAGCGTATACGAAATATTCTTAAATCTTAATAACTTGTGGAATTAGTACGATGACTTCGATTTGTTCGACTAATCATAAAGACCTTTTTCTAAAACATGATCTTAAAAGAATTGCTAAAGTATACAAGTTAGAAATTTAGATTCTTCTCTCTCTCTCCACAGACTCTGATCGACAGTAGAGCTGATTGTAGAAAAGTCGAAAGAGAAGAATATCGAAACTAGATACATATTGAAAAAAGTAATACTTCCATGGCATGAGTGAGTGTAGATGAAGAGAAGACGAGAACTCATACTCACGTTTGTACGCCAAAAATGATGTCCTGTAAGTTACCATATATCAATAACGTTTTATAATCTACTTCCTTATTGATTTAAAATAGTGTCT